GGGGGTCTCGGCGACGCTGTGGTTTTTCCAGGGCCGGGTGGGGGCTGGGTTGTGGCTTTGTAAATTTTTAATGACAAAAGGATTTCAAAAGCAACTATGGAAAGTTTTGGGGGTTGGTTTTTCCCCCCATTTTCCAACGACGCCGGCCGGGAGCCCCCCCCCGGAGCACGCCGCCGAGGGCCGGCCAACGATTCCTGGCCAAGACCGGCACTGACCACCCGCCTAATCCCAACCATGTGCCGCCGGGCTCTGCCAAAACCCATCGCTCGCACCTCGGCGCACGGTCCCTGCGCCAGGACACCCCGAGGGGCCGCCCCCGGAGCTGGCACAGGGCCCCCCCAAGGGTGGTCCACACCGGGGGGACCCTCCCTGATGGGAAAGCCCCCCACGCTGCTTTATTTTGCGACCCCTTCGCCACAAGGCTTCAAAGAAAAGGCTCCCCTGACCCCGCTCCGGGGTTTTCTGCGTCCATCAGCCTTATCGGCTCCATCCGCACGCGCCAGGCTAATATCCCAAATTACCTCCCGGAAAGCGCCACGACCTCCGCTCCCCTCCGACCTCCCCGGCCCCTATCAGCTTTCAGCGTCCACCAGCCACTCCGGCTCCCACCCCGGCGCAATTAATGCTCCAAAATCCTCGTTACCACGGAGATACCTTAATTAGCAGTGCCTCCCATCACTCGGGGGATGCTGTTGGGGTGGGCGTAAAAGCATCCGGGTGTAAAAGCATGGGGACACGTCGGTGCCGGCGACCCCGGGGTACCCCCAGCATCCGTGGGTGACGGCGCAGATCCATCCCACCCACCCCCAGAGCAAACCCTTCCCCAGGGGGTTCAGCCCCCGACTCCAGCAGGGCCTCCGAAAAAAACCCACCCCAGCTCCGCCACCGAGCCCACCCAGCACCCGCTGCTCCAGCGGCCGAGCGCCGAGCCGGGGCTGCTCCGGCGCCGCTGATAACACGCCCTACGCTCTGGGCCCTGCTTCTCCTAAATCTTAATCTAAACAGCACCAGAAACACACACGAGCACCGTAAAACAGACACGTTTCCCGTCCTCCGAGGGGCCAATTTTATATATCCTCTTTTTTCTGCAATTTTTTTTCCTCCTCCAAGCAGGAGCCTCTGAAGGGGCCAATTTTATATACATATATTTTTTTTTCCCCCTGCAATTTTTCCCCCTCTGCGCAGACACAGCGCCGAACATGTGTTTTAAAAGGGAAAAGTGTGAAGTTTTCAGATCGGAGAGGAAAGGGCCGGAGAGACGCAGGCAGCCTGTGGAATGTGCAAGTCGCAACGAAAATACCTGCTCAGGGGTTTTATGGCTTTCCTATTAAAAAAAAAAATGCTGATCAGGTGCTAAGTAATGCTATAAAGTAAAACCACATTTCCAAGGTGTCGGGAACGTTTATGCTTTTCTTCCGAAGGGCCGGATTTCATTTTCTTTTTATATCAGCGTTTTAAGGAGTTGGGAAAGAAAAGAAAAAACCCCTCCGATAAGTGTCGGAGATCACGCAGTTAAAGATTTATTGGGATGTGCAGGGAGTTAAGGAAAAATACAAATAATTGCCCTGAAGAACAAAAGGAAATTTGGGCAGCCCTGAATTCTGCGAGAAAAATAAATTTAAAAAAAATATATATATATATTTAGAGCTCTTCTAAAGCTCAAGCAATGAGGTTTGCAGGCAGACACGGCACCCGAAAACACTTTATCCCTCCTTTCCACTGTCTTTTGCCCTTTCCCGTCTCCAACTGGCATTTCTCGTGCCCATCCCTCAGCTCGAGGAGGGATTTATAAAAAGCCCAGGCATTCCAGCGAGCACGACCGAGCTGAACCGAGGGGAAACATTCGCTCTCTAAAAGGAGATTTGGCTTCGCCTTTCCCCAGCGCCGCACGTCGAGGGGCCACGGGGCGAGCGCTTGCCCCGCTCGGCTGCGCCGGACCCCAATGGGGGGGAAGATGGGGGTCCCGGGGGTGTGAAAGCGGCTGCCAGCGGCACCGGGCATCCCCTCACCGGGGTGAGCCAAAACGCGCGGGGTCAGCCCCAACGGGGTCCGGCCATGGCCCCACATTGCTCCCAGTGGGATTAACCCCTCCGGCCCCCGGGAAGGGCACCGCTCCATGCCAAAACCCGCCTCGATGCAGAGGCTCTCATTAACGGCTCCTAAAGGGATTTTGGGAGCATTTTTTTCCTCCCCCCCCAATGCCTCTGCAATTCCTGCCCTAATTATTGCTCTTTGAGACTTCCCCGTTAACGACACGTATGGGTCAGGGGGTACGAGACCGGGGCGGCCGGGACCTCGCAAGCGATGGCTTTTCTTGGCGGGACCCATTTGCACATCGGAGCGAACATCCATCGCCTTGAGAAATTCCCATCATAGGGAGGAAGCCAAACTTCCTGCTGCGGGGAAGGGGATCTCGCCTCTCCTTCGCTCGGGCCGCGGGGGAAGAAACAAGGCGACAGAGCCTAATTCGGATTTAGGGCTCCGTGGGGAGGGGGGAGCCCTCCCGTGTCCCCCCGCCATGGGGAGGGGGGACCCCAATCCCCGCGGGGCTGAGGCCGCCCACAGCTCAGCCCACAGGTGGCACCTCCCAGACCTGCCACCGCCGGGTGGGACCCCCAAACGGGCATCATTGCTGAGCCCCCCCAGGGGTATTTTTGGGGGGGGATTCACGGTTCTGCGTGGGGCAGGGAGCTCCCTATTGTTCTGGGTGGGGAAAAGGGGATTCATTGTTCTCTAGGATGGGGGGGGCACGGCTCTCCGGGGGGAAGG